GCAGACATCCTGAGTATTAAGAAAATGACAGAAATTACTTAGCTGCTAATCAAACATATTCACTAAATAATAGACTTGTCCATCTGCTGCAAAGCCCATTAACAGAGCAAATAAATGGCTAGAAGAATAGAAAATATTCAGTCTAAAGCAGTAAATGGGAAAATCTATAATATTTGTTGCAGGCAAATGCTACCCATTCTGATTTTAAAACTGGCTGAAACAGTCACTTACATATAATGTAAAAAAACCCCAACAGAATAAACAAGGAAGTAGAATGTGGTATAGTGTTTGTGTCACATTGTTTATTATAAAGTAAAAGTTATACCAAAACTACTAGATAATTTTGAAGCCACACTTGATTAGATGTAGCCATCACCACTTGATTAAATACATCATGCTTGATTAAACAAGTCCTGAATTGTGAATTCTACAGAATTCCATTAATTTTATTTCTCAAATATGCTTCAAAGCAATGCATCCTTTTTATCTCATTTGTTTGCCTTTATGCCCTCTAACTACTTCACAGCAAGTAGGAAACAGATATCTTTGTCTGCAGACATTACAAGTCACCTTTATATTTATTGTCATTTAAGCCATTCCAGTGAGTTAGTCCCAAGTTTTTTCATGTGCTGAATTATTATCTAAAGAGCACTGGGAGAACTTTGCAGCAGCAGCAGGTATTAAGCTGATGTAGACTGGCAGAGCTCCCCACCATGATTCATCTCAGCTGAACCTCTCTTCATGTGTGCTTAAAATAGACTCAAAACTCTGAAAACACCTATTGAATGCTTTCTTAACATGTGACTCCACTTTTGATTCCATTGAAGTAGAAGCTTATCTGATCCTTCTGAATCTGCATAACAAGTTTCCTCATTAACTTCTAGCTCTGAAAACATCATCAGTGTTATCATTAGGAGCACAGACTTTCTCACAGTACTTAGGAACTTGCTTTGCTAAAATCAGGAAGGGAGGTACTATGAAAATGGAAAATAATACAAAATAGGGAAAGTGACTCACAATATATTGAGTTCTTAAAAGGTCTTAGATAAAATGATATTAATAATAACCTTCACTTTCCAATAACAGAACCAAACCTTGTCTTTATTCTCAGACTGAATTTATTTCATGTCAGCTGGCTTCTGACTCACTGAAACATGCTTCATCGGCTCTAATATGTACTGCCTGATGACTTTGCTATGCTACGGAAACATATAGCTCCCTGTAGAATTTTCCAGAGCTATTAGAGTAAAAATATTAGTCAAAGGAGACTTCATGCTTCCTTTTTTGTTTTCCTCATATGCTGCAATGGACATCTCGTTTGAACTTGAGTGGTGTGAATTAAAGGTTGCTTGATTGTCTTGTTTTCATGGACAACTTTGTTAGAAGGATCAATCAATAGGGTCTTCAATGTCTTCATATAGATATGTTAGCAAGGTTAAAGATGCAAAGACAGCATGTAGCTAGATATCACAAAAATATAGTTAAATACAAAAGTATCAAATACATCATTTCACACAAGGTTGGTTTTTCATTTGGTTTTGGTTTGGTTTGGTTTTCCTTAACTAGTCATTTGCAGTACTTTGTTGGAGTGTTACAGTATTTCCTGTGGTGTTTAATCTAACTGAATGGAGCTCTCTCACAGGAATACCTAATGTGCAGATCTTGAGAAAAATCTGGATCGATCTGTTACGGGAAATAGTCAATGTACTGAAGCCAGCACCTGAAGTGAATACTCTCTCTTCTGTCACCACTGCAACTTGTATCTGTGCCCTCACCATGAGGCAGGACCCAGGCAGCAGTCAGCTTCCATGCTTTTTTTCTCAGATCTCCTTCATGGGAAGAGACTTTACTCCTTATCTACCATGTTATTTGTTCTTTCAAACAAACACCACAATGACCTAACTTTCACAAATTATTAAGAAGTTTAGAAGTCCGTTTTGGTTTCTTTTCTGAGTAATTGTGACTTACTACTCTTATGGAAGATGAGAGTACTCTTAAATAGATAGCAGATCACTTAAGCACAAGCATAACTTTAAGCACAAGCCATTGCCTGGGTCTAAAGGAACTATGGGAAGCTATAAATACCTGTGTGAGTACCCTAAGGATTCAGGAGTTGTGACCTCATGCCTGGAAGTACATAGGCGTTACCTTCTCAGCTGGCAAGGATGAACCCACCACTGCTTAGACACAGCCAGGAGGAAACAGGAGATGTAGGGATACATATTTGAACTCCTATCCTTCTGTCTCAGAAGGGGTCCTGACTCAAAATTAGTTCATCACATGCATGGGAAACAGCCATGAAGTTCCAAGGGTCTGCTGATCCCACTGTAGCCCTGCATGGTACTGAACAAGCTTCATCCGTCTATGCACTCAGCCTGGCACAGGGAAGGAAAGGTTTTGTATGATCTTATATAGGCATCAGAGAAGAGCCAGGTGACAACAAGAGCTGAGTCTCTGCAACACCTACTGCAACAGCATCTGGGTCAGTAACAAGGACTCCTAGATGCCACAGTAACACACCAAAACCTGCACTCCAGCAACTTGCATCTCAGCACACGAAGCCAAAAATGTGGCTGTGGATTTTCCCATAGCAAGCTCAGCTGTATCTTTCAGAGCAGTGCAGAACCTACACTAATCTGGAAAACAGCAAAATGTAGGAAACACAAAAATGTCTGCACTTCTCACGTTTCTCTGAAAAATTCTATCAATCATTACACTGCCTAAGTGTGATGTGTTTAGTGCTGGCTAAAATCACCAGCTTACTTACTCATTCCTTGCTGTGAGATATGGATTAGGAGAAGGGCAAACCAGGCTCAAAACTTAAAAGGTATAAATAAACTTTATTAATAGAACTACAAGAATAAGCATCAGAATAAAACTTCCAAAACACCTTTCCTCCCCCTGCCCAACTTCTTTCCTTCTCCAACTAGCAACATAAAGACAAAACCTGAGATGTTAGATCAGATACTAACTACAAAATAGTCTTTCATCAGTACTTTTAGGGAGAGGACCTTTCTCTTGCTGTGCCATGGAGACTTCTCCACAAGAAACAGTTCTCTTGTGGCTTTTCATTTCCACTAACAGCAGCCGCCCGGGCAAAAAATTTCTGCATCATGACATTCCTCCCATTTTCACAGCCCTCCTAGAGGTGTGTCCATGGGCCATGAACTCATGGGGTATTATTTTAAGGATGAGTTATTCAAAGGCAAAAGTTCTCTTCATCTGTCTCTGTGATCACCTCTGGGAACAGAGGTTTTCTTCTTCTCTCCCTGGGGGCAAAGGGTCTTCATCAATCTCATCTGTTCAATCTCTCTCTGTTCAAGCATCTCATGGGATCACAGCTACTCCAACATCTACTTGGCTTCATCAATGGATACCTCTGCTCACATCTACAGTCTGAATGCTTCATCCTCCCATACTCTCTGATGAATTAAAGGAGATATTCCAGTATATCATTGTCCATGGACATCTCCCTATCAAAGGAATATTTCAGCCCCATTCAGCATCCCCTCATTCTCCTTCCATCTGAGGCTAGACTCTTTCTTTCACCACTGACCTTGGCATTTCCATGTTGTCTTCCTACGTATGGTCACTCCTTTTTCTCTCCCTGGAGAGAGGAGCAAGGTCTGCAGGTCTCATCTGTGTAGTGAAAGGGTTAAATCTCACCCAGTGGCCGCAGCAGTCACAGTGTTGGATTTCAGGCCATGCTGGGCCCCTCTTTCTGCCTGGCAGCCTCTGGGTGGGGATGGTCCCGGCTTGGCCTGGAGCCCTTGGCTAGTGAGTGTCAGCAGCCGTGGTCCGGCCCAGCCTGGGGCCGGGTCCCCGAAGCCTCCATCCCCACCTGGGAGCTGCTGGGGTCCGGCCCGGCCTCCGCCAGGCCGCACAGGCCCCGGGAGAGCAGGGCCAGCCTCACCAGAGCTCCGTTACATTTCAAGGCTGGAAACAAAGAGAAGGTGATCCTGGGCTTGTGGTTTTTAAAATTTGGAACTCACAGAGGCAGATCTATTTCTAAATGGTGCAAAATGTTGTCAGTTCTCAGAACTAGCCACCTATTGGCCTTTTCTAGCCACAGAGGAAGCTCCCAGCAGCCTCTCTCAAAGAAATCACTTCCGTGGGTGTTTTCATACTTCTCCAAATGTCAGTCAATGTGGAACCAACACACTAAACCTTAAGGATTTGCTGCTGGCTAAGAATGAAAACATTCTAAGGTAAGGTGATGATGATAAAGGGAAACGATCCTAAGTGGAGAGAAAAAACCCTCATTTAGAAACTACAAACAACTTTTAACTTATGCCTTTTGGATGAGAGACATTCCTCTCCTGAGCCTCAAAGTTTTTATGGGTTAGAGCCAGGACATTTATTTATGAAATACAATTCTCTACTCTCTTGCAGTTCCCATCTGTGAATCATCGCAACTAGAGCTTTATGATGAGGATGATGAAGTTCAGTGTTTACAGGTAAAAAAGGAAGAAGGCCAGTAAGGCAGATGTCATGGTAAGAATCTGCAATAGACCACAGGACCAGGTGAACAGGTAGACGAAATGCTCTCTAAGAAGCTGCAGTAACTCTCACAGTTGCCAGTCTTTTTCTCATGGAGGTGTTACCAGATGTGTGCTGGAAATAGCATACAGCAGAGAGAAATGAGTCTAGGGCAATCCTGGAGTGTGTGAAAGGTAACATCCTGACACAGCCAGAGAGTGAGACAGCTAGGGAAGGTGTCCCACTGGACCTGTTTCTTGTGAAGAGAAAAAGACTGGCAGGTGACAGAATAGCTGAAAGCTGTCTTGGGCTTGTCTTCAAAGGCACAGGCTTTGTTTAAAGCAGAATAAGGAACAGAAGAAAATTGGCTGTTCTCATTATGGAATCACATTTACTTTGTGAAAGAGACACAGAATTCCTTATCTACCCCAAAAAAAAAAAAAAAAAAAGGATTATGTAACATATTCTGAGTATTAATAAAAATGGCCATTTATTATACTTCACTTTTCATCAATAGGTTTCAGGGTCAGCCTTGATTTTCCAGAAGAGAAAATAAGGCACAAAAGGTGGAATGACTGCCCAAAGTGATCCATCAGGCTGACACAGATTTGGAAATAAATCCAAGTTTCCTGAATCCCAGCCCAGTGTTCTGTCCTTAGCAGTAAACAGCTGGATATCTTAGCCAACAAAGGACAACTTTACCCAATCATTCACATGACTCTGAAACCAAAGGCCCTCTGGAAAACACTAGGTATTTACAGTTCTGTGGTCTCTGCTGTGTTTGACTTTTCAAGTGTTTGTAAAGACATTTTTAATGCAAATTAGTGATGACCAAGAGAGAAATGGCTGGCATCCATAATTAGTTGTGACAAAATTTGCCACTCAGATGCTTTTCTACATATTAATATGGCTTTGAAATTTTCACTCTAGAGTCTAGCTCTCATGAGGCTTATTTATCTAGCATCTTTTCATAGGCAACATTTTAATTCAATAATACTTTATGTACAAAAACAGATTTGACAAATGAAGCATCTGTGTGAAATATATCAATTAAATTGCACATGGAAAAGGCAAATCTGAGGCTCTTTGAGAAGAGATTATAACAGAAGTGTGATTTAGAATATAAGCACTGATGAAGATTTTGGAAAAGTATCCTTCCTTTCTTCATGAAAAGGTAACTTGTAGGCAGATGTCTACGCATTTTTAAAGTCTGGAGATTCAATTTTTGTACAGAGTAATTACTAGATAACAAAGGTATAATCACTGACTGGACCATTAAACTTTGGCAAAGGTGACTGAAATAATCTCAAGGGAACCAAGAGCTTGTTTAGAGCAGGGGTATTAAGAAGAAGTAATTAAGTAACACAGTGGGAGTGGGAGTCCCAAGAGAAAACATGTTACAATGACAGGTTTTATTGCACAACTCAATTACTGCTTACTATACACTTTATCTTTCTGCAGCAGAAATCTACCACTATTTCAGACCTTCAGAAGCCTGAAGCATTCCACGGATGTCCTGAGTCCCTTCTCTGGTCCTGAAACCAGGTGGCACAGTATAATCATATCCACCCTGGAATGGTAAACTTGCCCTGGAAATAGGATGGCCATAACCAAACTGCCCAGAATTAATAGTTTGTCCTACATTAATTCTCAAACTATTCCAGGAATTACCTGGAAGGCTGCTTATGCACCATGGCTGTGACTGCAGGCGACCTAATTCTGTCTCCCTGCATTTCCCCTGGCACTGTCTATTTAGCAGATAAAACAGAGCCAATAATGACTTCCTAGCAAAAACAAGATGCTTTTCAGGTGTGATGGACAAACAAAGAATGGACAAAGGATGAACAAAGAAGAATGGAGAGGGAAGTTAGGGACAACGTTCTTAACTGGGAAAGCAGGGAGCTAGCAGTGTTGTAGATAAACGTGAGCAATGTAGGATGTAAGAAGAGAGGAGGCTGCAATAGTCAAGTTACAAAAGGCTGACAGAGCTAGTGGAAGGTATGGAGCAACATCTGTGTTTTAAAGCTACTAGACAAGAGGAAACTGAAGTTCAAGTCAGCCCTGGGCAGGGGCTCAGTTGAAGACAATTCTGAGATCTGAGAAATGTGTTTCTGTTCTTGTTGAGCAGAAAGGAAGTAGTAGGGAGGGCTAAGGAGACCAGGTATTCTTGGTTATGGTTATACATCACTAAGCTGGATACCCAGAAAGTAGAGGCAAGCACATGGCCTGAAATCCATCTGTCTAGACTTAGATACCTGAATACCTGGATGTTTAGGATAGAGGGTCTTCCAGACATTGCCAGCTGAGAAGGAAGCCTGCAGTTTATCATCTAGATAATCCAGGATGAGCATCCAACAGTCAGAAAAGAGCCATAGAGATTGGAAGTGAAGCTGTCAAAGGTGTCTGGATGGAGAACCACCCCAGTAACACACAGTAACACACATCCCTGTCCTACTGATGTGCTGGTGAGTCACAGCTTCAATGCGTCCAAGCTCAGGAGTCAATAGTGGGTGCAAAAGTCATTCAAGATGCCCTCTTGGCAAAGCATCTGTGGTTAGAAGTGCTGCAGTCCTTCTAGACAGAGATCACAGAAGCTACAAGGAACCCCAAAAATCTCTGAGAAACAGGTTGAGTCCCTCCACCCAGTCATCATCTAAAGGACTGTAGAGGAAGGCCACAATGTCTGCTACAGTAGTGTAGCCAGCAGGATCTTGCCACCAGAAAAGAGCCTGGGAAACTGTTCTGTCATTTATGGGAGTAATCAAACTAGAAAATACATGTAGGCCACAACAAATAATCACTCTTTCACATGACAGCACACAGATATGATTCGCATGCTGTATTCATCTAGACAACTGAATTTTCAGAGGCATACAGCTCTTACACCTAAATGAGCAAGTTCATTAATGTCAGCCTCTTGGTACATAATCACTGCATAACCACTGGAAGACAATCTGGGGTTTCTGATGAATCAGGGACCATTTCCTCTAGGCCATCTGGAGGCTGCAGCCCCTCTGTTTTGAACGTTTCAAAGATATTGGCACAGTCAAAACATGCTGGTAAATTTCAAGAGCAAAGAATGGGTTTGGTACTGTTCAGGGTTCTAGTCCAGATGTATCCATTCTGGGATGAATAACAGTTTTGCTACAAGCAATTTTGCTGTTTCTTAACAGAAGTCTAAAGTAGGCAAACTTCATACTGGTGGCTAAAGTTGTCATTTTGAAGTGTGATGTGGGTAGTAATATGGTACATTCAGTTGTCCAACAGCTGACGCTTTGCAGTTCTGTGAATACGGTAATGTATACATAAATATTTTGGGGAAAAAAATACATTATAACATTTAGCTTTGCCTGGCAAATTATGTGTGCAACTTAGTGTATGTTTAACTCTGTTTCCTCATACTGACTGAGAGCCACATGGACAGACAGCATGCTGGGGATTTAATTTTTTAAGAATGTTCCTAGGGAAAATGATCTTAAGGACTGAGAAACTCCTGGAAGCTTTTCTTGCACTGAGGTGCCAAAAGAAAACATGAGATTTGAAAACTGAATCCTGAAAGTGTTTGGGCTGGCAGCCAGCATATGGCTCAAAGTTTGCTGTTATCTTTTCTCTCAACATGGAGACACAGTCCTATAATGGCTTAAAGAGCACAGCTGCCCATCTCAAACACTCCTAAGTCCAGAAGAGCTTTGCAATAAGACAAGCCAGAGTGGAGTAACAGGATGACATTAACTCTAGGCTTGACAGAGGTGAGATCTGGTTAGTACATCCCATGTAATCCATCCTTACAAAAATTCCCCCATGACAAACTGTGTAAAGAAGCAGTTGTTCATGTGGATATCCCCAGTCAAAGAAAGACCACACCAAATTATGGGACAGAGGGCATCTGTGCCCACCACTGAAGCTCACCCCCCAAAATATCCCTTGAAATTTGGACTGTAAGTTGAGCCACCACAATGGGAACTTGAGATAAAGGTCAAGGTGGTACTATTGTCCAGATGTTATCTCAGACCTAGGAGGAAGTTAACAAAGATGGGGGAAAAGGATGCAGAGGGACAGTCAGAATCACAATAAGCCCTCATGCTGTACTAAACTAGAAATGCCTAACAGGTCACTGTAATACTTGCTTCTAATACATGCACCCTTTTATACAGTTGTTGACCAAGTACAGCCACCAGTAATGATAGGAGTAGCTGTGGACTGATGCTGCCACATCAAAATGAATATATTTAGAGTTATTTTGATAAATATTGATAAAAATCTTGATGGTGATAATGTTTCTGAGGCTGGAGTGTGCTGCAGTGTATATGTAAATATAAGAGTAACAATTTTGCTCCTGCTTATCAAAGCTTTAAGCCTTGAAGGGCTTTGCTCTGTGGTAGCTGTTTTCCACGTTTTCCACACTACGCAGTATCAATCATTCTTCTAGAGAGGAACAGATACCCTGTCCTTTCATGGACAACTCCACTCTGCTTTGAAGTGTTTTACAGTCTACTTACCTTCTTAAAAAAAAAAAAAGTCTGATTTAAAAAATCTGATACACGTTCTAATGCCATTGACTGCACCAGTATTTCTTTGTGCTTATGAACACTTGCAAGTAAAAAATTTGAGATTGACCTAAACTTCTCTTCAGAAGCTGAAAAAAACTAGAATTAACCCAAGTTTACAATAAATAATGTATCACTCATTACCCTTTAGGAAAACAGGGGGACTTGGATCAAAGCTCTCGTTTGTATGATATATTTTGGTCACTTTTATTTATACTGAGATAATGGTAATAAAGAAGCTTTCAGGTGGCCAAGGAGGGATTTTTATGACTCCGAGGCTTATTTATAATAATTATTATTTATTGCCACTTTAAAAAGCTTTTACACCCTTACCATGCCTGACTTTTCTCAAGGATCAACAAAACCATAAATATTTTCTGCCCTTCAATGTGCATTTAGGATGAAGTTCCTCTGAGGATGCAGATACTATCTCAGCGTCCTTACACTCCCTGACCCCATTCCTTCCCTTCCCTAGGTGCCTCATTGCATGTGCACAGGACCTTGTCTGTAGAAGTTTCCTCACTGCAGAGTGCTTGGTGACACAGAAATGTACGAGTGTATTAGGGAGAGGAGGGAGGCAAGCTGGAAAATGGGCTGCAGTGTTTTGACCTGGATACAATAAGCACCCATACATGAGATGAAACAGCAGTCCTGAGAAAGTACTTTGGTCTGATGTCAAGTTTGGGTGGATTTAAACCCCCTGCATCCAAGTAAGTCACATACCAAAAGACTGTCCCTGATTTATACAGGGAAGGCTAGTTAAGCCTCTTTATATTTAAAATAATAAACCAATGCCATATTTACTGCCACTTCATGGCAGTAAATAACTACTTTTACAAGTAGTTCAATTCTTATCTGTGTTTCTGCAGACATAATTTTCTGCTTCTATGGTATTTCTTTGTCTGGAGCGGGAGGATGGTCCAGCTTTCTCTCCTGTGCAACACCTCATATGACTAGCCTGAATACTGATTTGAATGTACAGAATTGAAATATTCTGGTCCAAATCCATTCCCTAGCAGTCAATTGGGATAGGAGAGATAGGGTAAATATCTGCTTACCGGACGGCAGATTTTTTTTCTTACTATTTGCATTAAAAATATTATCTCAGTTAGGGATACTTCTGCCTACCAATTGTATGGCCATTCACAGCTCAAGGGCAGCTCTGCTATTAGCCACAACATAACAGAGCTTTCTATACATCAAATGAATTTTCAGCTCGAAACAGTAATCAAATCAAAATAGCACTGACAGAACAAACCAATGACTCCATGCTAAGACACTATTAAACCATAGTGACTAATAGCAGAAACTATCTTGTCTCCTTTCTGACTCACTGATATCTTGTTTTCAGGTTACCTATTTGCCAAGTCCATATAATTCCAGAAGGATAGCCATTCCCCTACCATATACCCAAGGATGATGGTATCAATATCCACAGCATGTGATTCAAACCCTCAATGACTGCAATGCACAATGCAAGGAGAGATTCGGAGGCTGGAATAGGGGCTGCTGCTTCCACAGGAGAACAGCTCTTGAGGCTTCAAAGTGAGGTGAGGCATCATCTCCTCCCTAGCATCATCCTTCTTCCAGTCAGGGAGAAAAAATAAAGAAAAAATAAAGAAACCTGATAGAAGAAATTTTATGTGTTCCTGTGCAGAGAAATTTATTTCTATCACTGCTAGAAAGTAGCAACCAACAGTGGTCCTAAATTGGAACAAGCATTTCAGCACTGCTTGTTGGGATGGATTTCACATGAACCAACTATGAACTATAGTGATTACCACAAAATCACACCAAGCTAGAGGCAAAGTTTAAAAAAAACAAACCAAAACCAACAACAACAACAAAAAAATAACCCTGCCAAAAACACAAATGAAAAAAATCCCAAATCAACTCACAAAAAACTCCCCAAAATTAAAAACCCAAAACCAAAACAACAAACCCTGAAAAACTCCAGATATTTCATACAGTGCTGGGGGACTTGTTTCCTCCTTTTTATTTTTTTGTTGTTTTTGTAGTTTATATGGCACCTTGTTTTGCAGAAATCTGAGGTAACGATCAGAAGCCAAGCATCTTTCTTGACTGGGAACAGGTTGGAACCTATAAATTATTAAGAGGTAAACAGAAATGTAAAGACAATATTCAGACATGAAAGTGAGCCCCAGGGGGTGCAGTACAAGATGGGAGAACAATGAAAAGCCATGAACTTCTCACTACCTCGCTGGTGTCTCCTGGGTTTTCCCACACTTGCTGGAGAGCCTCAGGTAACTCCAGGGGTACACTGAAAGTATTTAGAGTTCCTACAGTGAATTTCTCCTCAATATCCTGGATACTTGGTAAGAACAATCATGCCAGAGAGAGAACATCTTCTCCTGAATAAAAAAATCAGAATTAAAACACTCTAGCCTGAAGATCTCTGACTATAGCCCCATATGGCTGGAGGGCCTTACCTTACTGCTGGGAAACCCCTTTAGTTCCCTGAATTCAAAAATTTCTCCAAGGGCAGTCCTGCAGAGTTAGAGCTACATTTACAGCATATGCTACACAGAACATTTAGAGTTAGAAACTTGCTTTTATTTCTGTATTTTATGGGTTTCTCCATGACGATTTTGAGGGGTAAGTAGTTTGGTTTTGAGTAAGTGGAATGAAGCAGGGCCACAAGCCCCTACCCCAGCTCATTTTTAGTGATATGCTAAATCAAGTTCTTTTTCATTCTGCAGTCCCAGACTTAACTGAGAAGGAATATAGGTGGGTGGCAGCAGTGTGCTGGGTTCATACAGCAGAGTATAATAACAATATCCTCTCGTATCCTAATGAATTCCCATTTATACAGTGTACTCATTCCCAGAACTTCCAAAATAATAACATACACATAACTCCCCTTTAATTTGTGCAAAATCCCCTGAAAGGTATGCAGTAGAAATATGCAAATATGGCAGGCGATACAATGACTCCACTGAGTGAAAACAAATAAATTAACATAGTCTTTAGCAAATCCTCTTACTTGGGAAAATCCTGTTCTTTCAGACAAAGAAAATGTCTCCTTTTTTTTTTTTTTTTAATAAAGAACTATCTCTGAAAACAAAATGCCTCTGCAGGCATAAGCACAGGATTACTTTTTAGAAATCACAACTAAATTTCTTAGAGCATTTTCTATTCCACCACATGTCCCAGTATACCTCCTGGCTGTTTTGCAAGCACCTGAGGGCTCGAGAGAGAGTCACACTTTCAAGCCTATAAATTGTTTTTTCTTTCAACTCTACTTGGTTATGATTTGCTTGAACAGAAAATTGCCCAGTTCAGAAAAGAGGAAAAAAATTAGAGACCCTTAGCAGACTCAGAGGACAGAGAAAAGACAGTAAGGAAAAGGTCCTTTCTGATAATAAAGCCCTGGGTAAAAAAAAAAAAAAAAAAGGAAAAAAAAAGGTTGTTTTCACCAGCTAAGACTGCAGCACACTAATTCTGTCTTGAGGCAAAGCCAAGGGGATCTGTCTTCGCCAGGCTTTCCTAAGGGCTGAAATTGGGGATGCTTCAAGGACAGATCCAAAGCAAGATAAAGCAGAGAGCACACAGAACCTGGGAATATGACTCCTTTACTTGGACTAAGTGATAAACTGTATCCAGGCTCCCATTTTAGTGTGATCTCCTATCTATGAGCAGGTACACCATGGAACAGAACTGGTGGTAAATGCCAGACTCCTAGCAAGCACTGGACCTGCTGTGCCTGCCCCAACCCAGCTAAGCCTGTGTCTGCACTGGCACTTCAGTTGCTCTCAGTTGGCATCTGACAGTACCTCTGCCACCAGCAGATAACCAAACAGGTAAAAAGAGTTGAATCATTCCCAAATAATTAACTTCCCCTTCTTCTTCCCAGGCAGCAATCCACCTAAAACTGGGATAAGGACAGATAGAAGGCAGTGATGCTGAGTAAAGCTTAATTACCATTTTCATTCATTCAATATATACATCTAAAGCCTGTAACACTCAATAGAAATCTTTCAACCATGATTTTATGATACGCTTTCCAAAGACTTTTGCCATTAATTTGGTTTATTCTTAAGTATATACACCTAGAAAAGACGCACACATATAAATTCTGTAGAAATTAATGGAGAGCTTTTTCCTACTACTTGACCTATTTTATGCATGTTTAGACTTATTTGATCACCCAGCCTTTGCAAATGTTGCAGGGACATACCATAATATCAGCAGCATACCTTGCAACCTTCTGCAGGCTTTGCAGAAAATGTTCAAAAACTTAAACACCATGTTATACAATGAACCCTTGACAGGTGAAGAATTAAGAATGAAAGAAGTTTGTACACTTTGGACATGTCTTAGAATGTTTATTTCAGATCCTTGAGCCCATTTTGGACTGTGAGAAACTTCAGCACTGGTCTCTGTGACATCTGCTTGTGTCAATGATGGGTAAGAGGCTGCAAAACTGTACAAATCTCTCTCCCTTACCTGTGGCTTTCATTACAAATGTCTGGTTTAATACAAATAATATTGCTTCTAAGTTGTTATGAAAAAGCTGTATGACAACAAACAAAACAGGAAGTTGTAAAATCACAGAGTCACTGGTTTGGCTTTTTTTTTTTTCTTTCCAAACGAAATATATGACTTAAGACCTAAAATTAAAAAAAAAAAAAAAAAAAGAAAAACAAAATTTCAGACATCTAACTTATGAAACTTTTTACCAGAAATTAGAAAGAAATGTGATAGTCATGCCATATTTTCTGCTGCTATAGATCTGAAAGTCAAAAACAACTATCTTTCTTTTCTATGGCAAAATGTTTCACTAAGACATCACCAACCAAGTTGACACATGTATCAGAACTAAGAAAGTTCAAGTCCCAAATCATCTATTCTGCTAGGCCAGGCATCAGACCTACTATCTATGTTCTTCAAATCTGTAAAACTGAGACTATAAATTGAAAAAAATACATATATACATACATATATATATATATATATAAATGTAACTTTTATAGAAGAGATGATCTAAAGCAATAGTATTTTTCAAAAAAGTTACTATTCTTGAAAAATAGAAATAAATACTACCATATTTATATGGTAGCACTATATATATATACAAATTCAAATGTATATATTTAAAAATATATATAAATTCAAATATACATATTATAAAATATATATTATAAAAAGAAATACTACTATATATAATGTATAATATATTTATAATATATTTGTAATATATAATATATATTATATATGGTAGTATTATATATTATATATATAAATATATATAAATTCAAATATATATATACATATATATATATATGTGTAACTTTTATAGAAGATACAAGATGATGTAAAGCAATAGTATTTATCCAAAAAATTACTATTCATGAAAAATAAAAATAAATACTACCATAAAGAGAAATATGGTGGGAAATTAGTGGTTTGTGTGCTGAGGATCATCATGGGTAGAGGAAGGTACATAGATGTATTTGTGCAAAATACAGCAGGGTGACTTCATGTTCAACACATCTTGGTGAATCAGAGCAAGGCAAGCCCAGAGCACATGTCCCAGCAGAGACAGAGGGCTGCAATGACTGGAAGTCAGGGGTGAGAAAAGGCAGAAGCCTGGCAGGGCAGCAGCTGGTGGGAAGTGAAGGAGTGCTGCTGAGGAAGCATTTACAGGCAAGGCAGGTGATTGGCATTAGGTGAACACTGAGGAACAGTGCTGCATAGTTTTGGATGCCTTCTTTGCAATATTTGCTTCCTCTTTGCAAAACTTCAGGGACTTGATGATTTTGTCTTAGTGGTAATGGGTTATTTTTTTTCTCCCTTGAGCAATGTGTTTCAATACTTGGTTAATTAGATTTTTTCCTACTTTGCATGGTGCACACTGAAGATAAAAAATGACAGAAGAAGTATTGCATCTATAAAAAAAAAAAACAGAAAGAAGAGAGAAAGGAAAGATGTGCAAAAATAAAAGAGAGACATTGTCACTGCCAGCATTTAAAATTAATGACATCTGGAAAATCTATATCTTGTTGTTTAAGGATTTAAATTATCTTCAGTATTTTCAAACAAACAGTACACACATTTTGTTGGGAAACTCATACTTAAATTAGTTATCTTACATTGTAAAGAATGCTCCCTTCTGGGAGTATACATTTATGAAAAATATGGCTGTGCCTTTCACTTTCCAAGTCAAAAAGAACAGTGCTCAGAATCTCCTAGAAGTGAGATCAGTGTAGCTTTCCTTTTTTCAGTACAGTCAAAACTTGACAGCAGGATAAAAATATATTGGGTACTAATACTAATAAATCTAGGTAGAAAACTCTGAAAAGAACATCAATATTTTGTTTTCCTTATATTCTTGACCACTGCACTCAAACCTCACATTGATTACAAGTAATCTCCTTTACTATGTTAAATTTTTGCCATTTTGGAAATTACATTTTATTTTTCCTGGTTTAGGAACAAGGCTCAAAAACAGTGGGAGAAAGCATTTTAACTTTGATCTTGCTTTTCACAGTGCCAGTCTTTTTGTCTCATATATCATGCACTCTTTCCTTTATGTCCTCTGAAGATTTTCAGAAGTCCAGAGATACTGGTTTTATTTAACATTTTTATTCCTACATGTAGTAAACCTGTAAATTTAACTGGACCAGATTTTTTTACAAAGACTTAATTAATAGACCATAAATATATTCAGTGGCAGCATTTTTGCTTAAGTTTATCTCGCCCTTCAGATAACTATTATTTTGCTTAGTACAGTCAATTCTAAAGTAAGTTAGCTAATTTAAATGAAAGCAGAAAAATAAAATATTCACATATTTTGTTCAGGTTGATAGATTTGTATTTAATTGAAATACCTAAAAAGCTTAAATATTATACAGCTGACCCATATCTAGTTAAATGTAGTGAGACTTGTAGGGAAACCTAATTACAAGATAATATCTTTATAGGAGAGTGTTTAATGCAATACAAGGAGTATTATTATAAGTGAAGATAGGAAATTAAAAAATTTGGACTGTGCAGTACATAAAGAAAAGTCTTTCTGCTAACAAGTACTAGTAACTTTAACACAATTTGCTTTACTGTTTGATGGAAACACAGCAAACACTAGTGGGTAAAGGAGGAATTCAGGCTTGCATACAGAAGGAATTCTTTCCAGCTTTCAGACAAAAAAAAGAGCCAAATGAAATATCTGATCAACCATGTGTTTCCCAGATAACCTGTCCTTTCTTCTCATCCAGTCCTCTTTCATGCTGATGAAAGTTGTGAAAAGCATTACCACCTGGTCTTATTCCATTGGAAATCCCAACCACAATAGCCACAATTAACCCATGTGGCTAAGAAAATCTATGTAATCAGTTTCTGATATTGTACAACTCCAGAAGTACTGCTGTAAGCAACAGAGGCAGTCTTGTATGAGCAGTTCTTTTCTTAACAAAGAAATCTTTGTCATATATTTTAAAAGTCTTATTCCTCAGGGGAACTCTCTATTGCCTTTTCCAAGTCTGTGGCATTTGACCTCAGTGCCTACTCTTATTTTTTATTAACATGCCAAATTATTCTCTCCCTTTTCCTACAGGAAACATGTGGAATATGAAAAAAACCAACAACAACAAAATGCAAATACAAACAGACAAAAAACCCCACCATCATCAAAAACCTAAGGAAAAAGAAAAGGGTCAAATAAGAAATTGCACATGAGAGCTTCCAGCAGGAAAAAAAAAAAAAAGATGTATTCTATCAGAAATTTTGAAAGAAACCAAATTTCCAGCATCCTTTACCAAAAAATACTTTGTTTGTTTAGAGAAGCATACAGTAATAGAAACTGTATTTCATGCAGGAAATTCTAATTTTTTTTTTTTTTTTTAAAAAAAGAAGGTTATTTGAGCAGCAGAAACCAAACAGGGTTTGATTCCAAAACAGGAACATTTACCTTTGTAAGAATGAGAAAAACAGTGTTTGTACTTTTTTTTTTTGAGGTCTTTTAGGAAATAAGGGATACCTGCCATTCACTCCAAGGATTGTATAGAATTTAGCTGCCAGGCTGCACAAATAACAGAAAATTTCCTGCTGGCATATGTTTTATATTTGCAATGTCACTGTTACTTGGCACATCTGGCCAATGTCAAAAATGCCCATTTCTGATATCTCTTGAAAACCAACCATCTGTGATGCAATATGTAAAGTATCCATAAATTGACTAAACTTCATTAAACAAGAAATAAGGAACATTGTGATGTGTGTATACATTTATCAGTAGAAAGAACAGGACACATGCCAGCTTCTTCAAGGGGAATGGACAAAAGTACAATGAGAGAAAACAAAGGAGCTACACAGAATATTGCTACTTTGCAAAGTATCAGTAAAATCTAAGCAATTTATCAGCCTACCCTTCACCAATTTTCAATAGCTTCCAGTTCAGATGACTTTCTCCAGTGGGCAGCTGCTCTGGTTCACGGGCTGCTCCTAAATGCTTCAGTAGGAATCATGGTACAGTACCATGTGAAATAATGCAGGTGTTACTTCCCATAATCTTGGATATACCAGCATNTAATATATATTATATATGGTAGTATTATATATTATATATATAAATATATATAAATTCAAATATATATATACATATATATATATGTGTAACTTTTATAGAAGATACAAGATGATGTAAAGCAATAGTATTTATCCAAAAAATTACTATTCATGAAAAATAAAAATAAATACTACCATAAAGAGAAATATGGTGAGAAATTAGTGGTTTGTGTGCTGAGGATCAGCACAGGTAGAGGAAGGTACATAGATGTATTTGTGCAAAATACAGCAGGGTGACTTCATGTTCAACACATCTTGGTGAATCAGAGCAAGGCAAGCCCAGAGCACATGTCCCAGCAGAGACAGAGGGCTGCAATGACTGGAAGTCAGGGGTGAGAAAAGGCAGAAGCCTGGCAGGGCAGCAGCTGGTGGGAAGTGAAGGAGTGCTGCTGAGGAAGCATTTACAGGCAAGGCAGGCGACTGGCATTAGGTGAACACTGAGGAACAGTGCTGCATAGTTTTGGATGCCTTCTTTGCAATATTTGCTTCCTCTTTGCAAAACTTCTGGGACTTGATTTCGTCTTAGTGGTAATGGGTTATTTTTTTTCTCCCTTGAGCAATGTGTTTCAATACTTGGTTAATTAGATTTTTTCCTACTTTGCATGGTGCACACTGAAGATAAAAAATGACAGAAGAAGTATTGCATCTATAAAAAAAAAAACCAGAAAGAAGAGAGAAAGGAAAGATGTGCAAAAATAAAAGAGAGACATTGTCACTGCCAGCATTTAAAATTAATGACATCTGGAAAATCTATATCTTGTTGTTTAAGGATTTAAATTATCTTCAGTATTTTCAAACAAACAGTACACACATTTTGTTGGGAAACTCATACTTAAAAAGTTATCTTACATTGTAAAGAATGCTCCCTTCTGGGAGTATACATTTATGAAAAATATGGCTGTGCCTTTCACTTTCCAAGTCAAAAAGAACAGTGCTCAGAATCTCCTAGAAGTGAGATCAGTGTAGCTTTCCTTTTTTCAGTACAGTCAAAACTTGACAGCAGGATAAAAATATATTGGGTACTAATACTAATAAATCTAGGTAGAAAACTCTGAAAAGAACATCAATATTTTGTTTTCCTTATATTCTTGACCACTGCACTCAAACCTCACATTGATTACAAGTAATCTCCTTTACTATGTTAAATTTTTGCCATTTTGGAAATTACATTTTATTTTTCCTGGTTTAGGAACAAGGCTCAAAAACAGTGGGAGAAAGCATTTTAACTTTGATCTTGCTTTTCACAGTGCCAGTCTTTTTGTCTCATACATCATGCACTCTTTCCTTTATGTCCTCTGAAGATTTTCAGAAGTCCAGAGATACTGGTTTTATTTAACATTTTTATTCCTACATGTAGTAAACCTGTAAATTTAACTGGACCAGATTTTTTTACAAAGACTTAATTAATAGACCATAAATATATTCAGTGGCAGCATTTTTGCTTAAGTTTATCTTGCCCTTCAGATAACTATTATTTTGCTTAGTACAGTCAATTCTAAAGTAAGTTAGCTAATTTAAATGAAAGCAGAAAAATAAAATATTCACATATTTTGTTCAGGTTGACTAGTAACTTTAACACAATTTGCTTTACTGTTTGATGGAAACACAGCAAACACTAGTGGGTAAAGGAGGAATTCAGGCTTGCATACAGAAGGAATTCTTTCCAGCTTTCAGACAAAAAAAAAAGAGCCATATGATATATCTGATCAACCATGTGTTTCCCAGATAACCTATCCTTTCTTCTCATCCAGTCCTCTTTCATGCTGATGAAAGTTGTGAAAAGCATTACCACCTGGTCTTATTCCATTGGAAATCCCAACCACAATAGCCACAATTAACCCATGTGGCTAAGAAAATCTATGTAATCAGTTTCTGATATTGTACAACTCCAGAAGTACTGCTGTAAGCAACAGAGGCAGTCTTGTATGAGCAGTTCTTTTCTTAACAAAGAAATCTTTGTCATATATTTTAAAAGTCTTATTCCTCAGGGGAACTCTCTATTGCCTTTTCCAAGTCTGTGGCATTTGACCTCAGTGCCTACTCTTATTTTTTATTAACATGCCAAATTATTCTCTCCCTTTTCCTACAGGAAACATGTGGAATATGAAAAAAACCAACAACAACAAAATGCAAATACAAACAGACAAAAAACCCCACCATCATCAAAAACCTAAGGAAAAAGAAAAGGGTCAAATAAGAAATTGCACATGAGAGCTTCCAGCAGGAAAAAAAAAAAAAAGATGTATTCTATCAGAAATTTTGAAAGAAACCAAATTTCCAGCATCCTTTACCAAACAATACTTTGTTTGTTTAGAGAAGCATACAGTAATAGAAACTGTATTTCATGCAGGAAATTCTAATTTTATTTTTTTTTAAAAAAAAAGAAGGTTATTTGAGCAGCAGAAACCAAACAGGGTTTGATTCCAAAACAGGAACATTTACCTTTGTAAGAATAAGAAAAACAGTGTTTGTACTTTTTTTTTTGAGGTCTTTTAGGAAATAAGGGATACCTGCCATTCACTCCAAGGATTGTATAGAATTTAGCTGCCAGGCTGCACAAATAACAGAAAATTTCCTGCTGGCATATGTTTTATATTTGCAACGTCACTGTTACTTGGCACATCTGGCCAATGTCAAAAATGCCCATTTCTGATATCTCTTGAAAACCAACCATCTGTGATGCAATATGTAAAGTATCCATAAATTGACTAAACTTCATTAAACAAGAATGATAAGGAACATTGTGATGTGTGTATACATTTATCAGTAGAAAGAACAGGACACATGCCAGCTTCTTCAAGGGGAATGGACAAAAGTACAATGAGAGAAAACAAAGGAGCTACACAGAATATTGCTAGTTTGCAAAGTATCAGTAAAATCTAAGCAATTTATCAGCCTACCCTTCACCAATTTTCAATAGCTTCCAGTTCAGATGACTTTCTCCAGTGGGCAGCTGCTCTGGTTCACGGGCTGCTCCTAAATGCTTCAGTAGGAATCATGGTACAGTACCATGTGAAATAATGCAGGTGTTACTTCCCATAATCTTGGATATACCAGCATAAGTGTGTTTCTTTCTGATTCCACCAAATTCTGTGGAAATTAGCTGAGTTTAATGTTCTATCATTTCATGTGTTTAAATTACCTGTTTTATTCTCACAGTCCCCTAAACTCTTAAATTTGTTCATCTGTACCGTACTTTGACTTAATTCTTAATCTTTTGAAAATTATTTCTTGATAATAAGTGGATTTACCAATTATAAAATATTATGGCTAATAGTTAAATATGTGTACTACAGCAGAAATATTGTACAAGATGCCCTAATGGAATTCCCTATATTTACAACTATTTACAAAGGGAAGATGTATCATTCTGTTGATGCCAGTTTGTCACATCCTTTGAGGATGAAATGCACTATTATTTACACAAAACATGACAGCATCAAAGCCAGAATTATTCAAGAAAAAACCTTCTATTTCACAGTTGGAAACAAATATAAAGTCCAATCTGGGACATTCATCCTGGTTCAGTCATTGACTACCCTCATAAATGTAGGTGCTATTATTTTTTCTGTGTGATCCATCACAGTAGGCACAGGAGCCCTTCAGCCCAGTAATCACAGAATCATAGAATCGTTAAGGTTAAAAGGCCTCCAAGACCATCAAGTCCAACCATTAACCCAGCACTGTCAAGTCAAATACTAAACATGTCCTTATTGTCACTAAATGTCACTATGTCACCAAACCATATAATGCAGCTCATGCCTCAGGCTGTTCCCAGGGTTTGCCAGGGCTCATCCCTGAGGTTTGTTCCTTGTCCCACTCTGCGCCTGCCGAGTTCTGCCTGTGGCTTCACTGCTGCTTGGCTTAGCTGCAAAAGCCATTCTTTGTATGAGTACTTACCAAACACACCATACAGAGTGACCTGGACTTTCAGAGCAATGAATAACAGGATGTAAAAACCTGTAAGAAAAACATTACCCCCAGCAGATCCTAGAATGAAGGTGAGGAAAGCATTTATTTTAACACCAT